TAGGAGTCACTGAATGAGAGAAGTCGCGGACAATCAGTAGCAGTGCTCGTCGAGGTTGGGGTGGATGTTTGAAAACAAACGTCTACACAGGGTAACAAACCATCCAACAAGTCATCGAGACTCATCTAGGATAACGCTGCTACCTAGCGCCTGTTTGCGCAAAGACTGAAATGCATACTCGAACAAGACCTCATCTGAACCGGGGCGATCATGGGGTACAACAGCACGTAACATAACTCAATGTGGACTTGAACTATTTCCCTTCATAGTTGATACTCTCCTGTGGGTCACAGAAACAAAGTAATCTATAAGACTTTCTTATGTCTACCAACTTCAATTCTATCTTATTTTCACACCATACAAGGACTTTAGTTATCCGTAAATGCGGTACAGTGTGAAGAAGATCTAGTTCCAAAACTTCGCTTGTCCTCTCGCACTCAAGTGCTCAATTCTGACCAAGTTGACGTACGCCAACAGACGCCATTGTTCGTCGTTCAAACTAGCAACATTTAATGAGTGAAAAAACGGATACACTTAGGATAACAGGCATGTTTATTATGTGATCCGAAAGCCCTACTCGTTGCTTTTCATTGTTTTAAACGGACTTATATCGAAGATTCCGGCTTTATCATGGCAAGTCGAGTCATGCAATTCTGGATTTCCACTGAATCTATACGATCGATGTATTAAGGAACGCCAATCAACCCCGTGAATGCAGACTCGTATTGTTCACCCAATCGACTGAGCTCAGTTGCCATGGTATTCAATCATTCTCGTCTAAAGCGAAATCGGGAGATTAGCGAGGGTAAAAAGTTGGCCGGGGGAAAAACAATCAACCTCCGCCAAAAACCCACTTGCCACGGTGCTGTTTTTCCATATGGGTCTAGTTCACTGTATCCGTTGCGGGCCAGGATCAATGTCGCAGTCCAAACGGACCAGGCCGAATTCGCTCAGCCACAAACGCCTAATTCGTGCTTCAATCGCAATCTATTTAACGGTTTAGTTACAACCGGGCAATCTGCGTTTCGGGGTGGTGACTAACTGTGCTCGACGAAGGGGCAACAAAACAGGACTACATGATCTGTACAAACACTTCGTTGATCAATCTGTACGTCTCTGTTCACGCGCATCAGCCTATGTGAACTACCCATAACATTCGATTTGGAAAATGACCCGCTGTGAATTCCGTCCCCAACTCTAATTTTCATCATCATCGTACAGCAAAATACAGTGAAGCGAAATTCACTGATCGCTTTCAAGCTCACAATGTACACAAATCAAGTGGTAAATCACGAAATGGAGAGGGATGGGGCCTAATTGGAGGGAGACAAAGATGGTGAACATCTATGGTCAACAAACAGAATATATAATCTAAGTATGCATACATACCTTTTCAAGCACTCTGACTTGATAAGAAATGACAACAAGAACGCCACTGCTGTCGGTTAGTCACCATATCCTTCGGTGTTTCCAACCAGCCAGTTGCACAGTCTTTTGGACCCCAATCTGGAAGACGAGAGACACCGATTCTATCTGATCGCTCCATGTATTGCTTCATGCCTCATTTCCACATCATTTGTTGATCTCCACACGGTTTCTTCCAACCTGGAGCCGCAACTGCGAATAAGGCGCGGTACGATATACGATGGCTGGGTATGCGCTATACATGTCCTAACCACCGAAGCCGACTAATCTAAATTCGATGAGACAACGAATTCTCCGTCGAATCATCACCAATTACACGACGACTTAACTTGACTTAACTCTGAGTTGCTTACACGCTCGCTCCAACCAACTCGCGTCAAACTACGTAAAGATCGGCAGTCGAAGACGTCTAAACGACGAATATCTTCCACGCACAAATTTAGGGTCTCGCAACCATAGAGCAAAACTGACCACACACGACTCTAAGTTAACCAATGTGTTTTTCCGCGACAGTCACCTCCTTCCCGCCCCATCCAATATTGACTGCATCGACCGGATTTACCACGCAGTCCTCAGAACATCCTAATACCGTTGCATAAATAAACCGCGGGTGGACGGATCGGAGGGAGACTGTGTGGGTGTGTGTGAATGCCTGTACTTGTGCACCAAATTTGGTTTCGGGTTAGGGAAAAATCTAGACCAGTGGCTTGCGACTTTCAAACAACGGCTGCCCGCGGCAGCGAAACTGCGAATTCCACTTGGGCCGTTTGAGAATCGGATTATTTATTGAACAGGAGCCCCCGATTGTTCGGTGTACTGATATAGGAGAAGATCAGCTAAAGGCAGAATGAGGAACTTACAAACAATTTGATTGTTCCATCTTGTGAAGCCGTGATCAGTTCTGCCGGATTGGTAGGGTGAAACATAATGCAGTGAATGGATCGATTGTGACCGGAAAAGCACGTGACTGCAGAAAAGTCAAACGACAAACAGGTGGGGGAGAGGGGGGCGGAAATGAAAGAAGAATGCAACTGAGAGTAAGTTTGAAAAAAGAATTAAATGAATGAAAACCAGATAAAGATCTTACCATAGAATATAACGACGGAAGATAATTTTGCCGGTAGCTACCGTAAACCGTGTATAAGCAAAGCAATTAGTATTTCCAGATCGATGTGCTTAATTTGATTACTTGGGTTGCCTTAGCAACGCCTCGGAAGATCAAATGTTTCTAATTTTCAATGCAAAATCTCCATCCTCTCCGAAAGCCTTAGTGTAGTCGGGGATGGTTGCCTCGGGTTGTGGATAGTCACCCTTCCCTTACATCTCACAAAATGCACCTATACAACCGCGCGTCTCATACAGCTTCTGCTGAGGAAGCCGTACTCACTGCCTTCTCGTGGCAAAGGTGTTTTCACCACGAAGGTGGGAGGATGAAAAGTCGACATCCGGGGTTATAACCGGGTTGGTGGACAACAGGTAGTTCACCAAGGGGAGTTGGCCTAAAACCCTTTCCCAAACCAACCTTACGAACCACAGACCTTCCCGGTTATGGCAGTGGTCACCAGCTCAATTGGACACCACGAACGTTTGACCCCATCCAAAGGTCGTATGATTCGATGAACTGGGCACCGATCCCCGATGGATTGCGGTTTTTACACACCACCCCGTTGCCTTGCGAGTCAGGCTTTGGTTAGTCGAAGGCTCCGGTTGTGAATTCTCAGGGAGAATTCCCCTACTTCAGCCTGGGCAGCCTGGCACTATCGCGCCCACGAGCAAATCATGGGTCTTTTTTCTCTTTTACAAAGATTATACGCTGATTTGTTTGGGACATAGTCTGAAATCAGACGCCTGTGAAAATATAATATACAGAACCTCTGTCACCTTAAACCTCGGCTGATGCGAAATCGGGAAAAAGTATTAAGAGTGTGAACTACAAATAGAAACCATGTCAGGATCTAACAGGGTGATAGCGCAGCGGCCTGCAATCGAAGTTCGGCACGGTATAATGATAAAGGTAACTGTAAACCGTAGAAGGCAAATAATAGACAATAAGCGAGTCTTCAATTCGTGGCTTTGAGAAGCCATTTCTCGGAAGGATATATATATTTCACACACGTCTGACTCCAAACTGTGTGCCAAACAAATCGTGATACAATAATCTTTATTTTAAAAAAGCACCATGATTTGCATGTGTACTGAATGCTGTCAGGTGGCCCAGATCAGGGCAAGTGAATTTTCTTGTGGAATCCACAACCGGAGACTTCGACTAGTCAATGCTTGACTCGCAAGGCAGCAGGGTGGTGAGGGAAAACCGCAGTTCATTGGGGGCCGGTGTCCAGTTCATCTGATCATACGCCTTAAGAACGGGATCAAACGTTCAAGGTCCCCAATCACCTCAATGCCCAACTGAGCTGGTGGCCATTGCCACAACCGGGAAGGTGTGTGGTTTCTACGTCTCCTCTTGCTTGGTTTGGAATCAGGGGTTTTGAACAACTTCCCTGGGTGGATTACCAGTGGTCTCCCAACCTGGTTACAGCCCCGGATATCGGCTTTTCGTCCTCTCTCGTAGGTGGGAAAACACCTCTGCCAGGAGAAGACGGTTAGTGGGACTACCTGAGCAAATATACACACGAGAACTACTAAATGCAAGTTTCGTACTCATTCGAGCTCGGCATTAGTGCACATCTACTGGTCGCTGGTGATCTGCATTCAGGATACAATGTATGGAAGGTGTGTGTGTGTGTGTTACCATTGTGACATGCAGCTCCCACGGGGCTGAGGAGAATCATTGATTGAGTGATTATTGATCTGACATCTGCATGTTCGAATAGCTTTATTACCGCCATATTTCTCTGGACAGTGAGAATTTCTTGACTTGCCGCTTGTTTGTACCAATATGTAGTAAATAAGAGGAACCAAAAAATCGTACACCGGGGAAAAATATCCACCGATATAAACAACGTGATGCTCAATTCAACAAATATAAATGATTTTGTCCGCGTCAAAAGGGGTCACTAACTCGCGCGCGTCACATTGTTACCTCATTGTTCGGTCGGAACTCACTTTGTGTCATATTTCGGCCCACATCCCACAATGTGATATCACCCCCGGTAGATGCCGTGGCCAGGATATCTGTATCAGTTAGAAGCAAAGTACGGATAGGAATGAAAAGTTGCATCACAAACGAAACACCAAATACGGGAAATTGTTGGGGAAAGTTCGTGCAAAATAGCGACATACATAACAGGAGAGCATGTGCATCAGATCGATCGTTTCACATCGAATATTAGAGATTGAAGCACCCCAATTACAACGCAGATGCCATGAGACCTGTTTAGGTCATATCTGAAAAGTACGGAATCTGATACAGCAGGCCGATCAGAAGAGGATGGATACCTGTTTCTTTCACACAACGCCCACAATGAGGGAATGTACATCAGTGACACCATCAAATTCAACCTTAATTTAGACAAATGGATATTACCGGTTTTTGCAGTTTAAAAGTGTATTGGACGGAACGGAACCCCAATTTGTTTCGGGATACTGATAGCTCGGCACGGCCAAAGAAACAGCCGAGTGATGTACATTCACTGATTTGCAGACGATATTTTGTCTGGATTCTCCCTACGGAAGATTAGACACATTGAGTGCGTATTTGCAGACCATCAGTTCAGTACAGTTTTTACAACCATTAACCATGGAGTTTGGTGCGCCGGTTTTGGTTACTGTTTTTGGCCGTCCATTTGGATAAAAGAGAAGGATGAAGACTGGAATGCTGAAAGCGGAGGATTGAGAATTTACACAGACTGGTGTTAAGAGAATAATGAGTATACGTATGAGTGCCACTGTTTACGACACCCAGCCATATCGCTCAGTGTCTCGGTTACGATCATCCCGAGGTCCCTAGTCAGGAAGCCTAACGGAACCTTTGTGACCCAGACTCTCGATTAGGGTTTTCATACCCCCATGCCAGATCTTAGCTTGACCACCACTGACCATCAATCTATAAGAACAGGGAAGCACTGATATCAGGTAGGCTTACAAATGGATACAAAAACGTACCATCCGCACACGACCAAGCCACATCGGTCACACTGTGTGAGCGTGGAGCTTGAACGGAAGGTGTCACTGTGGTTGTTGCCATCCCAGTGCCAGTAGAATTGCTATCGTACATGTGTGATTTATTCGAGTTACCAGATGCGTCGTTGAATCCCGGACCGGCAGAAGCACCAAAAATACGTGAAGGTGTTTTAGATCGCGGGAGCTGGGGAAACGAGAACGAGAATAAGATCAAAATAAACGGTGAAATCAAGCGCTGAGGATCTGTCGGTTGTTTAGAATTGAAATCAATTTGGTAAACAAGCTCGTTTTCGGTGAATCATTCACAAACCAAACACATCACTCTTTTAAAGGTCGCAAAATTACATCAGTCAAGGAAACAGAAAAAAGTAGATCATATCTGTGTTTGACAGTAAGCGATGCTTGACCGGCTTCGATCTGACTCCGGTGATCAGGTAGATGGGCCTAACTCCTCCACTCATTCTAAGACTATGTTTGGTTTTGACCAGATGAGCCACGATTGCCGTCCCCGGGTTCTCGTCAATCCACGACTAAGCCAGCTGGGGTAGTGTTCTCGAATGCGTTTGGCCAAGCAGCGGGTAGTGTCACTAGTGACGGTGGCGCCAAAGGAACACAAAGTGGTAAACGCAGAATGAAGCCATCTCCACCGGTCGCTTCCTTCATCTGCAATGTGAGAACTGGCTTGTAAGTGGGAATTATGGATAGATCAGCGGCATAACTTGTTTCTGATTTCAGTCTAGAGACGTCCATTTATCATTTTAAATTGTCGTCTTTGAAGAGAACGGACAAATAGAATGGGTTCTTTTTTACCGCATCCCTGGTTGCACTTTTGTGGTGACCTTCATACATCGTTGAATGATCCAATATGAACATCTATTCTCTAGGGACATTGTACAGATTTTTCGCAGTTCTTCCTCACATGTATCAGGCGAACTTATTCGCCTTGTCCTGTTCACCATGCATCAAATCAATGCTTCCTTTGCTGCAGAGGTAAAAAACGGTGATTTGTGACCTATGAAAGAGTATTGTATTTGATCATTAAATGATACACTGAAAACGAGCTTGTTTAGACTTCACTCAACTATAGAAATGATAGAGCTGCCCAATTCAAACAATGACTTTCAGGTGCGATTCTGTGAAGACTTAGCCAACTAAGTGTCAAAAACTCATCAGATGCAGAACATACTGAAAACTCGGTTTCGCATTTGTGTCGGATTTCGTTTGGTTTTTCAGTCAGTCAGTTCACCAGGTGCAATTGAAACAAACGTCCGGAGTAGCGCCAAGGTCAACATGGAAAATGTGGACAAAAACATGTGATGCGCGAGAACAGATACGAGATGAAAACCCTGGAAAAGCGACTGTAAAGTGCTGATTTAAAAAAACACTCAGCCAAAACACAAATCCAAAAGCATCGGCTATCAAAAGCCATTGCCAATTGTTTTCCCGCGGCACATTTAATACCCTCATCGAGAACTAAGCCATTAATTGTTCAACTGGTTAGAGATAAATTGTCTCACCAGTCCTAATCCTCTGTTCTTTAAAAGATTACGCGCACTTGTGGTGCTTGCTATATCGGACACACAACGAGGTGTTTATCCGCCCGCTCTTCAAAAAGGAATAATGAGAAGCTTGAACAGCTCAATCCTGCAACATTCGGTCGACAGGGAACCCAGAAACATTATTTGCAAGTGTTTGCGATAACTAGCAAAGACAGCTGTTTTGTCCTGTTTGTAACGCGTCAACGGTGTGTACTTTTTGCGTGTCCCTGTCAGGACTGGAACGATCGAATGGGCTAATCCAACCTTGATACTCTAAATCACTTGCCAGTATCTTCACGGCACCCAAGAACCACGCCGAAGGATTAGGTGAGAAGATCCTGAAAAACTGCGGAAGCCATAGCAATTAGGATTGTGAAGTCGGAGTTGTGCAAGTAACGTAATCTGGTTGAAACGTTCCTGTTACCATGGCCACAGAAGTGATTGTTCTAGATTCCTATATGGCGCCTTTTTCTTTCTCCTTCACTGCCCCCCTCCCCATCCCTTCCTCACTTACTGTCCTTTTCCTCTCACTTTTACACCTGTTTTATTCATTCTTGACTAAAACCTTTCACATCGTGTCTACTTTACATCGTTTACCTTGCTTCTCTCCTGCATCCAATTAGCACTACCCCATAGCTTGTTTTCGACTACATACTTTGCAAACACACACACATTTATGCAACATCGGCCTATGCCTTGTATTAATTAACCTATAGACTAGCGTAAGTGTAACCGTAAATGCCTGAAGCGATATGCCGAAAAAGAATTCCTTCGCATTTCCAGTTCGTTCTTCAAAACACAAGCTGTTGAACCTGCGCTTGAAAACCAAACGGTTATTGGAGGTTTAGGCTCAAGGGTTATGGGATGGATCATGCAGGAATTGAGATTCCATGTTAAGCATAGGCCAAACAACAAACTTAGAGCGGGTCGCAATAATTTTATTGCTACCGCTCCTACTAATGCCGGACAACATTACGGATGATTTTCGGGGTACCTTGGAGACGCCATCACGACGAGACTGCACCTTGACGTGGTGTGATGGCTTGCGCGCCTCAGTGACCCTGCGAGCTACACAGGGTGGCTTCTCACAGCCGTAGATCCAATCATGCCTGAAAGGTCAACGGGTAGAGGCCAGACGAAGACCAGTCTCACAAGGCCAGCTGCTTGGACACCTCCTGGCTTCCTTCGTCTATCCACACCCGCCCCTGGGGCCACTCCAGCAAATAAACACGGTGAGGGGCAGTTTACCGGTCAAAAAACCCCGCTAGATGGACGTAGGAGCGGGGTACCTGGGGCTTC